CCATCTGCCTGTGCCTGCAGAGGTAGGAAGCAATGAAGGCTCAAGCTAGGGTTATGGCAAAAGGGAGGAAGAAATGGCTGTTCAACTACTGAATGGGGTGGAAGATCATGCGACAAAGCATTAGATGTGATGACAATAGAGTAGGAAAATTCGTGGAAGGCAGAGAATTTTGAGTCTGGGTGGAAGAAGAATAGCAAAGTCATGAAAAGAAATAGACAACATGAGGAAGGAGCCCTGTGAGAGGAATGAGGGTCAGTTGTGTTTTGCATGTCTGAGTCTAAGGTGTGGGCAAGACCCCAGGTGCCATGGCTACTCACCTGGGAAGGCATGAAAGAAAATAATGCAATGATCCCACAAGTTCTTACTTTACTTAGACTTTGTGTATGTATGTTTTGACTGTTTAGTGTGGAAAGGTTTTGTAAGCTTATAAGTAAAAGGAGAAACAATGAAAGAAAACATTGACACACAGGACTACATAAGACGGAATTATATCTTATACATTGCAAACTAAGATAAATATTTTGAACCATCATGTCAGGCAAAGTTAATATCTTTAATATGGAAAGATAAAAATTACAAAGAAAATATTAAATATCCCAGCTGAAAAATTGGGGGGAATGGCAATGGAAGGAAATCTACAATATAAAAAAGCATTAAGTGCTCTGCAAACATAAAAACTTTCAAATTTATTAGATTTCTAGGATTTCAAATTAAAACAACAATGAGATTTGTTATTTGTCTACTAAGCTGACAGGTTTTGGCAAACATGTGGATAATTAGCTACTTTCCTGCATTGGCTGATTACAATACAAACTTTGATAATTCATTTTGTAGAGCAAAGGCAAAAAGTCTTAAGCATTTGATTTAGTATTCCTTATCCTGGATACATATTTTAAGAAAATAAGCACAGAAGAACAATAAAATTTTTGTAAAATATGTACAACATGATATAAATATTAATCAAATGGGGCTGGTTAAATAAAGTCATATTATGTATTACCATGCAGTGATTAAAAATTATACATTGGGGAATATTTAATAACCAGTAAGAAACACAATATGTTAAATGTAAAGAAGGATGCACACTACATGTGTGATACAATCACAGTTTGGTAAAATATTGTATTATAGATACATTTATATAACAGAATAAGTATATGTGTCATATAATTATTATATGGCATATATATTAGTAATTACAGTTTGGTAAAATATTGTATTATAGATACATTTATATAACAGAATAATTATATGTGTCATTATTATATAGCATATATTTTAGAATTATCTAATATAAACATATTACTATATATATTTTTAGAAATAGGAAGGTCTGTTTTAGAGCAAAGAACATTTTACATGAGAACAAAGAAAATATCGAAGACTTTTAGGAGTCTCTCTTTTTGATAGGGACTTTATTACCTTAACATGCACACCATTATGACATTTTAATAACACAAGGATATAAGTCCTGTCAAATTATTTTTAGTAGGAAGATTTCTAAGATGATCTTCCAGAGATGTCCAAGATCTAATCCCCAGAATGTTTACATATCAGGAGGGAGATTATGTGGGTGAACTTAATCACATGAACCTTTAAAAGCAGAAAACAGCCGGGCACGGGGAGTGTAAGCACATTGGGAGGCCAAGGTGGGCGGATCACCTGAGGTTGGGAGTTCTAGGCCAGCCTGACCAACATGGAGAAATCCTGTCTCTACCTAATAATACAAAATTAGCTAGGTGTGGTGGAATATGCCTGTAATCCCAGCTACTCAGGACGCCGAGGTGGAGAATTGCTTGAAGCCGAAAGGCAGAGGTTTTGGTGAGCCGAGATAATGCCATTGCACTCCAGCCTGGGCAACAAGAGTGAAACTCCATCTCAAGGAAAAAGAAAAGTAGAGAATATTCTTATGCCAATGGCAGAAAAAAAGGTTAGAGAGATTCAAGCATGGAAAGGACACAGCCTGTTGCTGTTGACCTAAAGGCCATGGGGATCTCATGGAAATTATGAGAAGAGAATGAACTCTGCCAGCCTTCAGTAAGCCTGAAGAAGACCCCAAGACCCAGATGAGAACTGCAGCCCTGGCTCCTGCATTGAATTTTGGCTTTGTGAGACTTAAGTAGAGAAGCCAGCTGAGCCTTACAATGCCCAGCTGAGCCACACAAAAAAATGTGAGATAATAAAAAGATGTTGCTTTAAGTCCCTAAGTTTGTGGTAATTTGTTCCAGCAGTAATAAAATATGTCCAATGTTTAAATGTGTGTATAAGTAGAAAATGTGGTGGGGCTTCTCAAGCAGGATACAGCAGAAGGATGCAATGCATGGGTTTTGTGGTAAAAAAGAACTGTGACTGAATTTCAGGTTTTCCTCTAATTAGCTGTCTAATTTGAGGGAAGTTCTTTGATCTGTCTGAGTCTCAGTTTCCAAATTTGTCAAATGTAGCAATGGTAACTGTTTAACCAGTTGTGTTTGTGTATGTGTGTGTGAGATGTAAACAACATAATATATACAGGATTCTTAGAAAATACTAAAAAATACATTCTATTATTTCATATTTATATTTGTTATTCCAGCTAGAAATTATATACTAAGAATTTTAATTACAAGGCTTTAAAAAGAATAATACATTAAAAAAATATATTAAATATATAAATATTGTAGTATTTGAATATTTAATGTAACCATTAAATTATTCATTATATTATAATTATATGTGTATATATAAATATTAAATTAATAATTAGATCATAATTATACATTATTATATACAATATATAATATATAATTTTTATTATATATTTATTTTAACATATGTTTTATATATGTTATATATAATGTTTTATGAGTAAACATATATGATAATCATAATTATTAATTTAATGTGTAATTAGTGCATGATTAGTATAAATTACTATTATCAAAATTTTATATTTAAATAATAGATTTAAAACCTAAATAAAAATGTTTTCTACACTACCTTTCCTTTTCCTCCCTTTCTTATTGTAAATTTGACCATAATAATCTCACTACCAACTAATTCTGTTTTAGACCCAAAGAAAAGGAGTTCTTCCAGGGGTCTATGTGACTAAGTATTGGGTGTCTCAAAGAAGGGGTGCCTGACCCATGTGAATTTCCATGAAGAAGGATATTTCTTAGTGTCTGCCTTTATCTTGTGAGCAGTCAAAGCTTTGTTTTCTGTCCCCGTTTCCCCCTTTCTCCCTCCAGTAATTGAACGCTGTCATCCCCTGTCCTTTGAAATTGTCCTATATCACTGGAGGGAGTGTCAAGAAACACAATGAAACCATCTCTTCCCAAAATGCTTGAGCCACACAGGCCTAGACTGAGGAGCAAGAAGCTGGAGGGGTCGGGAGGAAAAGGTTTCTGAAGCATTCTGACATGGGGCCTATGTCCTCAGAATCTTACACTTCTAAAATCTCACTGTAATATGCCCACAAAAGGCCAGGCGCCTGGCTCATGCCTGTAATCCTAGCACTTTGGGAGGTCAAGACAGGTGGATTGCCTGAGCTCAGGAGTTTGAGACCAGCCTAGGCAACATGCTAAAACCCTGTCTCTACTAAAAATACAGAAAATTAGCTGGGCGGTGGTGGTGCGCGTCTGTAATCCCAGCTACTCGGGAGGGTGAAGTAGGAGAATTGCTTGAACTGGGAAGTGGAGGTTGCAGTGAGCCGAGATCGTACCACTGCACTCCAGCCTGGGTGACAGAGCAAAATGGTGTCTCAAAAAAAAAAATCCACAAGGGCAATTTCAAAGGATAGGGAATGACAACATTCAATTTCTGGAGGGAGAAAAGAGGGTAGAAAAAAGGCTTTGACTGCTCACAACACATGCTGCTTTGAAAAAAAACTGTCAGGCCAACCCCCGCATCAAAGCTGTGGCTTTCCTGAGGCACTCCAAGCGCCAGCATCTTCTGAGCCAGGATATTTGTCACAAGACCCTGGGTGTAGACCTTGCCATATGGGTTCACTGAAATGAGTGGTCAAGACAATGACTTGGGAGGTATAAAGCTGTAGGAATACCTGCTCATAAGCACTCTTGCTATTTATGTATTTATTTTTCCTTTAAGCAACAATCGGATTGGTTCAGAACGTACTCTGTGTCAGGCACTGTGCAAGACACTATAGGAAAAGCGAGGGTGACAACACACGTGGTCTGTTAAGGAGTTTGCAATCTAGCACAGTGCCCTCAACTGGCCATGTTTTGTCCCAGGGGACATTTGGCAAAGTCTGGAGACTTTTTTGGTTGCCACGACTAGTGGCTGGGGCTTAGGTAGAGGGTGCTGCTGGCATTAAGTAGGTAGAGGTCTACTTAATGCACCCTTTGTTTAGATACTGCTAAACAAAGCACAGGACAGCAGCCACAACACAGAATTATCCACCCCAAAATGTCAATAGCACCACGGCTGAGACGCTTTGATATAGGGCAAGTCATGCAAGATATGCGAAAGGTCCCTAAAACTCTATTTTCTGGGTTTACATGTTCAATTAAGGAGTTCTGTTTTTTGTTTTAAATATTAATTGCAAAACTTATGAGTCAGTTGCTTCGGAGAGTAAGGTGAGCAGCACTGGATGCAGGCGGGGATCAAATCTCCCTAATCTCAGAGTTTCATATTGGGCCATTGATATGGGGTGCAAAAGGGCTTCCTTGAAAATGTGATCCCAGAAATGTAGCTCATGTTAAAGAATCCTACCCAGATGATGTAGGAAAGCAGGCAGACACAGCTGCTGCTTGTAAATTACAACCCCGTGGTGTGGCTCAGGGTAGAGCTGGACTTGAAGTTCACATGCTGGCTGAATTAAAATCGGGGACAGCTTACAAATAAAAACCTAGCACAGCTTAGGGCCTTCGTTTTAGAAATCTTTCTTCTGTCCCCATTTGTCAAGGCATAGATCAGCTTTTTGATTTCAGCAGTGTAAGCTTACACATCCTCTGAAGTGAAAATGTGTCATCTATTTTTTTCCACCTTTTTGTTTTTAACCCTAGGGAGCATTCGTAATAAAATCGGTCCCTGTTCTATGGACTGTGATCCCAATCTCTTAAAAGAAGATGATGATCTACACTGTCAGGTAAGATGAAGGCTGTAGAAGGTGGCTTTGGAAAGACCATGAAGACAGCAACCCCTGATTATAAACTGCGATTTCTTAAAATGTATGTCTAGGTAGAAAGCAATTTGGCCTTCAGAGCAGGTTTTGAAGTGTGGGATGTGGTAAAGCGGCTGACGTTTGAGAAATCAGCAATGCCAATAAATTTTCGTAACATTGGAATCAGACTTCTTTAAGCTATTGAAGACTTTCAGTGAAATTATTCAGTCTACAAGACTCTTTTTATTTGGAGCTGGGTGATTAGAAAATGTGCTGATTGTGCTGTTTCAGTGATTTCTTTGGCATGATCATGGCTGTCATGAAGCCTGTGTAGAAACTATCTTGATAAACTTGTATAAATTAAGTAGCCTGAATTTCCAAAATATTGGCCAGTTTACTATTACTGGTATTACTAGATCCAGTTTTTAGATACTTAACATTTTAAAAATCTGTGTCTGCCTAGAACATGTGACTTCAAATTTTAAGTATTAAAAAAAATTAGCTTGGCTAAAAAATTGAAGTAAAAGAACCCTGCCCACTGCCACAACCTGGCCTCTTTGTGTACAAGTTATCTGAGTGATTGTCTTAATTTTTTTATCTTTCTAACTAAATGCCTATAGTTCTATAGAGCTGTCTTTCATGTCTTGCTCTCACCACTGACTTTAAGGTAAGTATTTTCTTTTTTAACCTCTAAATTGTAGGCCATCATCTAATCAAATAAATGACTGTGTTTTTTAATGCTCAGGTGACTACTAACAGCATGTGCAATTGTGATTGTTTCTATATCACAGACTTTCTACATTGTGGATCTTCTGTATCACAGGCTGTGATACAGAAAACTCTGAAATAAAAAGTTTAGTGGAATCTGTAACAATGAGAGGTGCCATTTACTAAGAATGAGGACATTACTGGGGGCTGGCAGATTTTCTCAGTCTGCAACAAACAGCTTCGTATTCTCACGGCGAACTAATGGGATAGATATTGCTATTATCATCATTATTCCCAACTTAGAGATGAGAAAAAAATGAAGCATGGGGAAATGAAGTAAATAACCAAAATTATATTGCTAATTCAAGTACATGACTAGGTTTCAAACCCAAAGTGTCTGCCTCTAGAATCCATATTTGTATCAATCGTGAGAAAACGTAAGTTGTGTATCTTTTTGTTATTGTTGTTATCCAGGTATATTTTCCACTTCTTGGTTTTTATAATCTTAATGTAAGGACTAGGGTGTGGAACCATGAGTCAATCCTCTAGCAAGTAAAAAATGGTGAAGCAACACCACACGCTTTTAGTACATATTATGTATTCAAGTACTTTTACGGATACTCTTTTGGAAATGAATGAAAAAAGATGTTTGTGGGACTTCTATGGTATTATGAATCTAATATTAGCCTTTTAATTATTTTTGTAAAATTCTCATACCAATCATTGACCGTAAACTTTGAGATTAGAAGCAAGGCTAAAGTAGGTAAGGTGAGAACGGATACGTTCACTCTAAAAACCTAAAACTCTTCCCTATATTTACTGAGTTTACATGTTCCATCAAGGAGTTCTCTTTTGATTTTATTTTTAATACTATATTCTAAAACTTACGAAGTAATTGCTTGGGAAAGTAAGTTCTCCCCTGGGGTCCGGGCACATTGGGAAGGTGTCTTCCCTCTGAATGGCTGTCAGAGGTAGGACATACTAATGGGAATGCATCTCGGCCCCCCCACCGCCCGCCGTCAGTGCTATGGGATGACAGAGCCAGGACACACCCAAGTCCCAAGCAACCAAGTGTTACAGGTAAGGGCAGTTATACCACCTTCTAAACATACATACACCACCCTCTTGACAATAAACAGTCTTAGTCTGAGACTCCACACTCCAATTTAAGCATTTTATCTTTTCTCATGTTCCTATAGTATCAGGAATTAACTTGGATCTTCAACTAATTTTAAAAATTGTAACCTAGGCAGTTCATAAGATGGCTGTGGGAAAATAAGGTTAGTGTTAAACTTCCAATGTGATGCATCAGTTTTTCAAATGCAAATGATCAGAGAACAGTTTCCAGGTGTGCTCCCAAGGGGCCAGAGATGCTAGTCATCTTCCAGTGGGCAGAAAAAGAAGCTTGAGGGAGTCAGTGCTTGAGGGGTCTCTCCAGAATCTCCTGAGCTACCCACCCAGGCTTCTCTTGTTTTCCCCTGGGTACATTAATGGAAGCCTGCCATGTAAAATTCTCTGGGGAACATATAAGACATGAGTTAAAGAAAGGGGAAAGAGTAGTGCTGCTGGATGGTCTCAGGATTTAGGCTGAATCTAATTTGGAGCTATGATTGTTTTTGGATGATGATAATAGCACTGATGGAAATGAACATGATGTCATCTTTATTTGCCTTCATAGTTCAGGCACACCTGGTATTTGTTGCTGTTATCTATGACTAGCAATTCTGTGATCTTATTAACACAAGCCTCTTAGCAGAGTGTTTCCACCCCAAACCTTCCTCCCCTGCCTTCTTAAAAAATGGTGAGCATCACTTAGGCCACATTAAAGCTTCCATGGCTGCTCACTTCTGATCTTCCCAGGGCAGTTCAAAAGCATTTGTAATCCTTTGGATTCAGCCCTTTATTCACTGTTTCCTCCTTCTAAGGCTTTCTCTTTTGATGAAAACAATCCCCTTGCCTTCATCTGGCCAGATGGGCAGGTGAGCAGTTCTCCCCAGACACCCACACAAAAACTCTGCGAAAGGTTTGGAGAAGAAATGCTGCTAAGTGGAGCTTAACTGTGCTGACACTGTAATACATTTCCAGGTCCCTGGTATCACTGCCTGTGAACCACCAGCTCTCTCTGCACACACAGACTTATCCTCTCACCAGTTCGTGGCTCTCATCCCTCTCTATAAACTGAATGGCTTATGAAAGGAATTATGGCAAAAAAGCAGAAACCTCTGGATCCTCAACTAATTTTAAAGTTTCTAACCTAGGCAATATAGGAACCCTGAGCTTTGCTACTTACCATATGACACAATTGAATAGGGTTATATGTCATCGGCTCAGATAACTTTGAGACTTGGTTCCTATGACATTTTCTTCATAGCAGCTGCAAAGAAATGCCATAAGAAATGCACAAGAAATGGAAGGGTGTTAAATATTCAGTTGATCACCTATGCTAAATAGGATATGGTACCAGATACTACTTGTATCCTTAGTATTGTAAAGCATTTTACATGCTATTCTCACACCTCCTGGAAGAATTATATACATCCATAAATTATATGTATGTATAAATTATATAGTATATAAATGAAATATGTACAATATACATAATATATATGTTTATCTTCATGAGTGTTTTATCTCTATTCTACAAATTTAAAACTTCAATTCATGGACTTTAATCCATCTGAGTTCGCAGAGTAATAAAAATACTTGAATGTGTCTTTTGATCACCACCTGACTATCCTTTTTTGCTATAGCACTATATATTTTAGAATTTTGAATTTCCTTAAAACGCCTTTTGCCTCTCAATTTGTGTTGTGTTGGAAGAGTGGTCATTCATTGTTTGGTGATCAGTGTTGTATTTGAACACCAATATTCACAAACCAGGTTTTTAGTCTACAAACTTGAAAATTGGATTCTAATTAGCAACTTATATTTAAAGATTTGCTTTTGATTCCTGTGACAAGTCAGCATATAACAGTACACAAAACATATGCAATGTGATGTTTTGCAATAAATTTGTACAACAATTTCTATTTTAAAATATAGATATTAATCTCTTTAAAGACATTGCTGTTGAAAAAAATATTTAATGATGATGTTTTTAGGTCTCAGAATATAGTCAGGATTTATAGTTGTAATGAGGCAGAAAATCTATTTTCCTGTCTTCTGAGTGATGACAATTATGGTTCAAGCATTGTTTTTCAGGCATATATTTAAGACATACATTTGTGCTTGGCAAACTGTTTAGATTATGAAAGTGCTTCCATGTGAACAGGTTTTGTACACCCTGGTACTTGCCTGGGGGTTTCTCTACACACATTTACCTTTTGTTTTGGAATCAGAAGTTATTTCTTTGTGTTTTTGTTCCCCTTTTGAATCAATTCTTTGGAGATGAACTGGTTTTCATGTTTTTATATCTTCTCAAAAACCCATCTGAAGAAATTTTTAGTGTATTGATTTAGATATTTCTTCAAGGAAATATAAAAGTTCAAGAAATGTTTGCGATTTTTAGTATTCACAGGTGTTTTTCTTTATGACTTGGCAGCCAGAGGTAATGTCCACTGTTGTTCTTATAATGTGAGTACTTAATAAAATGGCCTCTAATCACTATTTCTTGAGATCTACTATTTGCTTATAGCCATGTTAAATGCTGTGGAAGACAAAGAAATATGCTGCATCCCATTTCTGCCATGAATTTAGTTTGAAGAAATTGTGTAGCTATTCATAGAGAAACCAAATAGAAAGCAATTTAATGCGCTCTATCATGAAAAACCTATACTTTATCAAATCAGCAGCTTTGGTGGGTAAACCAAATCTATGATATAGTTCTTGGTAGCCATTTCAACCTTCTATTGAATGGGATTGAATGAAGTGTCTAAGCAACTCATAAGGAAATGCCATCAGATTGAAATTTTAAATAGTTACAAAGGCTTTTTTTCAGCAACCTGGCAATGTGTGCCAATTAAATATATTTAGTTGGGACAATTCAAAGATCTCATATTTTTTCAAGGATCTTGGTACTCTTTAATTTACTTAGGGATGGAGCAATTTAAAATATCAACACTGAATAGTCTACTCAAAAATACTTCTGTGCTATAGAAGTGAAAAAAGATGAAAAGGACCACAATGAAAGGCAGTTACTTTATTTATTTATTTATTTATTTATTTATTTCTGAGATGGAGTCTTAGAAGGTGTGATGGCACCTTCTCAGCTGACTGCAACCTCCACCTCCCAGGTTCAAGTGATTCTCCTGCCTCAGCCTCCCAAGTAGCTGGGATTACAGGAACATACCACCACACTCAGCCAATTTTTGTATTTTTAGTAGAGACGAGGTTTCACCATGTTGGCCAGGATGGTCTTGATCTCTTGACCTTGTGATCTACTTGCCTTGGCCTCCCAAAGTGCTGGTATTACAGGTGTGAGCCACCACCCCTGGCTAGGCACTTACTTTAAATTGATATCTGTAACTGGATTTTGTTCTTAGGTAATCAAATCGATCAATTTGGTAATAAAAGAAATGAGACTTGTTGAGTTCCCTGGGGATTTGATGACACATCTAATTTACCTGAGTTTCATACTTAGGTTTTCTTGGCTACAACAACCTGCCAACCCCAAAACAACATTTTGAGATTTCAAGCTGTTCCAACTACAAAGTTGTGCTAAAACCTGTATGAACTAATATCAAGGAATTTCAACTAACTGACCTCTTACAAATAATCATTTAAAACATTTGAGAAGGGTCTAAAAAAAACGAAACAAGAGTTTTACAAAATTACCTTATAAATACAAGTCAGGCCTAATTTTCTGCTTCTCTAGAGTAGATTTTCAGACTCCTTATCCGCACCTGTGTTAGGCCGTTGTTGCATTGCTATAAAGAAATACCCGAGTCTGGGGAATTTATAAAGGAAAGAGGTTTAATTGGCTCATGCTTGTGCAGGCTGTACCAGCATAGCTGCAACATGTGCTTCTGGTGAGGGCCTCAGGAACCTTACAGTCATGGCAGAAAGCAAAGCGGGAGCAGGCACATCACATGCTAAGAGCAGGACCATGAGAGAGATGGGAGATTCCGACCAACCAAATCTCACATGAACTCACTGTCTTGAGGACAGCACCAAGCCAGCCATGAGGGAGCCGCCACCTTGATCCCAGCACCTCCCACTGTGTCCTACCTTCACCACTGAGGATTACATTTCAGTATGAGGCTTGAAGGGGACAAACAACCCAACCATATCAGTACCATTCGTAATAAAAGCTTAACAGGAGACCCCAACAAATAAACCAGGTAAAAATGGAGCTTTTATGGTGGGAGAGGTAGGAAGAGCCCTATTAGCCTAGCTGCTCCCCCTCCCTATTTCTCACCATAGCAGGGCGCAAGGACCACAGGGCTCAGTCTACCTTCTGGATGCATTATCACAGGTTACATAATTTTATCAAGTTCTAATAAACTAGCTACGTAGACATTATGTAATTCCTGTGCTTAAATTGATGCTGTTGAGAATCACAGGCTGGGGGACTCAGGAGCTATTGGTGACAATGCTGGAATGAAGTAACCTGCCAGAGCACAGAATAGAGGCAAAGAGAGTCCTGGTAGCCTTCATGTCCTTGATTCTTGTGTTCTTGAAATTCAGCAGCCTCTCTGCCTTCTCCATAGGCTCGTTGTTCAAACCTCCCTTCCAATTACTCTGTTAGAGCTAGCTCAAGTTGCATTTATTTCACTTGCCACCAGAAGTCCTGATTCCATACAAATACTGCCACCACCATTGTTTGTCTTTGCATTCTGACAGCATTTACATAAGCTGTCCCATGTGAAATAATACAAAGTGAATATGTCATGGTCTCTGCCATTACGGAGATAAAATTTTAGTGAGGGTGTCTGGAGCATAAAACAATCATTTCAATGCAAAACCCATGCCTAACAATGCTTCTTTATGATCCATGATTCTATAAGTCATTCTGGGGAAATGTCACTGAAACTAGGTGAACTTTCAATCTGCTATTAATAAAATACTTCATTTTTAAATTTTTATTAATTTCTTTGACAAGGGAGATAGCCTGACTGATCATTCTGTGAAAGAAAAATCAACTATTTGGAGAACTGGAGAAGCAGAAGATTATTCACAGGACACGTCTTACTTGGAGGAACTGGAGGAACACTGATCTTCTGTTTGGTGAGGGACTATATCCTTTCTTTTTATTTTCAAATTTAAATTTATTGACTCCAGCAAGCATTGACTTTATTCTTTTATTATTTATTTATTCAACAAATATTGATTGCATGCCTATTGTAGGCTATAGAATGTGTATTCTGACTTCAGAAAGTTCATAGTTCAGTGAGGAATATGAATGTTTAAAATTAATTATAACGGTATTTTAAACAATGGTATTTTAAACAATGGTATTTTAAACAATTGCTCAAAATGCCACATGCGCACACGGAGAAGATGGTGGCTGAATTTACTAGAGAATGGAGAGGGGTTTTCAAGAAAAGATTGAGCCAAGTCTTGGGGAGAAGATTGTAATAGAGAAATGGTGACAGATGGATGTGGGCAGAGTCCAGAGGTGGAATTAGGGGGACAGCTGGGGTTGACACATGCTGGATCCCTTAGTTCACTTAAGATCTAAGCAGATCATAATTATTGTTCTCTCTACTTAGTGATGTGTTATGGGTATATCTATTTCTGTTAATGCACACAAAACTGACATGGAAAGGAAGTGCTGGGAAGGGAAGGGTGTGGTCCCTTTAAATGATACAGAAGGGGGTAAGGGTGTGGTCCCTTTAAATGATACAGAAGGGGGTAAGCGTGTGGTCCCTGACTAGGGCTCCACCCACGGCCTGTGCCCATGGACCTAGGTGAGGACAGGCATTTTTGTTTTCCTGCCCAAATGTTGCATTTTCACCCTGGCTTGCCACACTGCCATCCTGTGCCTATAAAAATCCCCAAGACCCTCACAGGCAGACACATAGGTGACTGGACGTAGAGAGAAGCACATCTGCAGAGGAACACACAGGTGGCTGGACGTCAGAAGGAACATACCAACACACACCGACTGACTGGCAGAATGACGCAGAGTTTGGCTAGAGCAGTCGGGAGAGAGCGCGGGCTGCCTAGTGACCTTACTCCAGGGGAAAACCTTTCCACTCCATCCCTTTCTGGCTTCCTCCGTCTGCTGAGAGCTACCTCCACTCAATAAAACCTTGCACTTATTCTCAAACCCCAGTTTGATCTCATTCTTCTAGTACACCAGGACAGAAACCTGGGATATAGAAAGCCCTCTGTCCTTGCAACAAAGTAGAGGGTATAATTGAGCTGGTTAACACAAGCCACCTATGGAAGCTAAACTAAAAGAGCATTCTGGAACACATGCCCACTGGGGCTTCTGCTGTAAGCATTCAGCCTTAGACACTGCCATGGGGTCAGAGCCCCACAGCCTGCCCATCTAGCTCCCCTAGAGGTTTGAGCAGTGGGGCACTGAAGAAGTGAGCCACACCCCCATCACATGCCCTGCAAGAGGGACAAGAGAACTTTTCCTGTTTCATAATAAACATAAAAAAAAGCATAAAAGAATGAGCAGTGGGTGTTTTCTGAGGTAAGGAGCACAGAATTTTGTAATGGTGGTGTCCATCAATGGTGGTGAGGAGGAATGACAGTGGCCATGTGACACAAGGAGTAACCTTGGGAAGAAGAGATGGTGGTACCTAGTCAAAGGCATTCATACCTACCATGGCCTTCCTGCCCAGCCCAAGATCTATTCCTGAAATTCTTTTTCCATTGGGCATTTATCTGATTTGGTTCTCAGAATTTGTTCTCACCCTTCCATCCTGGAACCATCATCGGAAAAAGTAGTATCGGCTCAAATTTCCTGTGCCCAGTCACATTTTTTAGAACTCCCATTGCTCTTAACTTAGAGCTCTAAATGCTTTCACCAATGCTTTGATGATGCTGCCAGATGTGGTATTCAGGCTAAAGAATGAGTTGTTTCTCAGATTAAGAGAAGCAGGTCTGTGACTGAGAAGTATCAGGCATGAAGGGAAGCTAAAGAGGTCAAAGACAAGAAATGTGCATTGCTCTCCTAGAAAGAAAGCATGTACAAGAGATGCTACTTGCTAGTAAGAAAAAGACATGGTCCCTGTTCATCAGAAATTCTATTTGTGGTACTCTCAAGGGGAGTAGGGATATATACTTCTTAGATTTAGTTCAGTAAAATAACTTCCAGAACAGAGGTTTTAGGTGCTTACTTTGTTGTATGTAGATGAGTGATATGGTTTGGCTGTGTCCCCACCTGAAGCTTATCTTGAATTGTAGTTTCCATAATCCCCACGTGTTGTGGGAGGGACCAGCTGGAGTTAATTGAATCACGGGACCTCCTCCTTTCTGTTCTCATGGAAGTGAGTTAGTTCTCATGAGATCTGGTGGTTTTATAAGGGACTTCCCCATTCACTGAACATTCGTTTGTTCTCCTTTTTGCCACCCTGTGAAGAAGGACATATTTGCTTCCCCTTCTGTCATGATTGTAAGTTTCCTGAGGCCTCCCCAGCCACGCTGAACTGTGAGTCAATTAAACTTGTTTCCTTTATAAATTACCCAGTCTCAAGTAGTATATTTGCAGCAATGTGAGAATGAACAAATACAATGAGAGAGCTGGAGCTTCTGTTGAGTTATATGCTAAGTTCTTAATTCTTATATGGGGTTTCACCAAGGCGAAAAGCTTCATTAAGCTCTCAGGCTCCCAGCTCTCTCATTTCCTATTTTCCAGGCCTTCTCTGATGACACAGCTCCCTGTTGCCCTTCAGGAATGACCTTTCAGAGTCTAGAATATGCAACGTCACAATGCCATTATTATCTTATTTGTTAAGTTAAAAGGCTGAAGGGTTTCCCTGGATCTCAGAGCTTCAGTTCCTGATAGATCCTTTTATATGTACTCTCAGGCAGTACGCCTTCAGTTAGCTTCCTCTGATGCTCTAAGAAGGCCAGATGCTGGTAATTACAGCTCCTGGGGCCAAATCCTGGTCTTCTTCTGCATTTCTAAATAAAGTTTAATTGGAACTCAGACACATCCGTCTGGTTACATGTTATCTTTGGCTGTTTTCCTCTGTAACGGCAAAATTGTGTCCTTGAGACAAAGACGGTGCGGCTCACAAAACCTAAAGTATTTACTATTTGGGTCTTTCCCAAAAAAGTTTATCCACCTCTGCTCAACACTGACTTAGATGTTTCTCCACTGCTCTCTCATGACACCACTCACATTATTTTTAAATTTTAAAAGTCATTTATCTTCTAATTGACAAGTAAAAATAATATATGTGGTGTATAACATGATATTTTGAATTATGTATGCTTCATTTAATGGTTATGTCAAAGTATTTAACATATGCATTTCATCTCATAATTAGTTTTTCTTGTGGGAACACTCTCTTAGCAATTTTCAAGTATACAATATATTGTTATTAATTGTAGTCACCATCTCGTACTATAGAACTCTTGTAGTTATTCTTCTTGTTCAATTGAAATTTTGTATCTTTTGACCAACAACTTTCTAAGCTCCCCATTCTTCAGCCTCTGGTAATCATCCTTCTAATCTCTGCTCCTGTAGGCTCAACTTTTTAGAATTCACATATAAATGAGATCGTGCAATACTTGTCTTTCTGTGCCTGGTTTATTTCACTTAACATAATGCCCTTGATGTTCATCTATGTTGTCACAAATAACAGAACTTTCTTCTCTTTTAAGGCTAAATAGTATTTCAGTTGTGTTTGTATACTGCATTTTTTTATGCATTCATTCATCAATGGACACTTAGGATGCTTCTGTATCTTGGCTATTGTGAATAATGCTGCAATAAACATGGGAACAGTCACATTATTTTTAAGATACCTGTATGCTTGATTTCCTCTCCGGGCTGAGCTGCTTATGCATTTTGGTCATGCTGAGTCACTAAACCACTTTCAAGGCTTTGTGTCTTGAAACAACCATTTTATTTGCTCACAATTCTGGGGGCTGGGAATTCAGGCAAGACATAATGGAAAGCTCTTCTTTTGGTTAAAATAAGTCTCAATGTCAGCAAGAGAAGGAATAGACTTCCCCTCTAGATGCAGGAGCAAAAAGTTGACATTGCAAAAGGGCGTGTTGGAATAAGATACTGTGTGGCCATCTTTAGAAACAGTCCACAACATTTTGCTTCCTTCATTTCTGTGTGCATAGTTCCTAGCATAGGGTTGAAAGATTTGCTGAATGAAACAAGTTAAAGGAAACAAAAAGGTGTAGGTTCTGTAGATGGATGAATCTGAGTATGAATTCCAGTTCTGCCATTGCTGTGTAATCATGAACAATTTGTTTGAGGTCTCTAAGGCTCTCTTCTGTGTCAAACTAGAATGATAATTTACGTGTTTTTGGATTTGATGGATATTGTGAACGTTGAGAGATAAGATACAGAAGATATTCTTACAGCAACTAACACATAGATTTTTAATAAAGGCAATTATTATTAACATTATTAATCATCCATTTTAAGGAAATACATTTTCCAAGGGTTAAAATAGAGGGCATAGGTCACGCTGAGATGATGTCTCACTTTCTATATCTGCCTTTCTTTCTGTTCTTCAAACACACTGAATGCTTGATGACATCACCACCTTTCCACTTTATCTGGCACGTTCTGCCTGTTTCTAGCGATGTGACTGGAGGTTTCAGCATTCACTTTATGTCCCCAGAGAAGCCTTTCCTGACTCTCTATGAAAGTGGGACTCACCCCTATTCTGGCAATTTGCTTTCTCATCACCTTCTTGGTTTCCTTTAAAGTAGTTAACTCTAATTTAAAATAATCTTTTCTATTTATTTCATTGATTGTTCATTTCTGTTTCCTCTGACTAAACAGAAGCTGTAGGCAGGAATCTCCCTTATCTGGTCACTCCTGGGTATCCAGGTCCTAGCTCTGGGGTACCCGGTACATAATATGACCAGCAAATACTTCCGGAATGAGTGAATAGAAGGATGAATACACGATCTCTTCTCTTTCTCTCCCAATCCCCTTGGCTATTATACCTATTTATTGACTTCCAATCCCTTCTCTTGAAACTGCTACCATTTAAAAAAAAGGTAATATGGGAGAATTAACCACTATGCACATTTCTTTTTAAACCAGGGGTTGAGGATATGGGGCTGCTGAAACC